TACAAAACTCTGTTTATCTATTACATACAAAATACTGTTTATCTATTACATAGTAATACTCTGTTTATCTATTACATACAAAACTCTGTTTATCTATTACATACAAAATACTGTTTATCTATTACATAGTAATACTCTGTTTATCTATTACATAGTAATACTCTATTCACATTCTAGTATGCCAGTATTTGTATGTAGTTCTTCGAAATAAACAGAACCTCTAAGACTTTATTTTTGTGGTTCAAATACCCAATATATTTATATGTTTATTGTAAATATATTCATATATAAAACTTTTCCTTATGTTTAAAAAAAAGATTATTTTAGGTTATAATGATGTCTTAAAAACGGGCAACAGCGCGAAAAACTTTTAGATAAAATTATTGTTGTTTAATGATATTCCATTATTGTTTTGTATTACGTCTTATATTAGATAAAAAAAGGTTAATTTAACTATCCTATATTTTTAGATTCTCAGAGTGTTGAAAGCATGACTATATCTTGGATGGATAATGCTGTACTACTTGATCCTAACCTAGAAATTTCAGAGTTCGAAGTGGAGTCTGTAGATCCAAAAGGACCTGTTTTTGAAAACTATAACGATGTAGGTAAGTCTCTCTTACCGGAACAAGTCTACATATCTCATTTTCTCAGTAAACTTGGACACACACACACATACACGTGACCAGAAGTCTCGGTCATAGCTGTGTCCGATTGCAATATTTTCAAGTTTGTCATCACAATTTTATATTTCGACAACCTGAGTAAATAAAGAATTTTCATTATTTAATTTTTAATGTAAGTATAATCTTACAAATAGAGCTGATACAAGCATTTACGATGAGAGAAGGTTTATTTGATATTCAACAGCTTTAGAAGTACTGAAACCTTTGAACGAGAGAAAATCGATAGGCGACGATGTTTCTGGTAGATTCCGCGATTCGTTCTCGTCGCCTATCGACTGTTTCGCCCAAAGGCTGTTTGTGTTTTAGCGCAAAGTCAAATTGGGCTATCTGTGATCTGCCCACCACAGATATCGAAACCCGATTTCTGGCGTTGTAAGTCCGCAGACATACCGCTGTTCCACTGAGAGGCTGCGTTATAAGTCACTTTCAAGGCTGTTGGAGTTCATAACAAACTTTCTCCCATTGTAGAAACACCGTCTAAAATATATGTTAAAGTTTTTACAATGTTTAAAGTCAATGTCCAGGGTACATATATTTTCAAGGCTCATAACAACATTGGCGATTAAAGCTAAATTAAAGGTATTGGATTTATAGATCCCACCCAATGATTGTGCTAAACTCCACATTTAAATCAATATGAAAGAGCGACTTAGTCACTAGTCGTTTGTGATTTTTGTACCTTTATATGCTGAAACTCTCCTTTTAGACTCACATTACCATTTTGGGTTTAACTCACTCGAGATCTTATTTATGTATGTATACGCATGTGTGTGTGTGTATATATACAGTGCCTTATAAATGTCTTCACCCCATATGCTGGTAATCAATTTTAGTTATTTATTTGTGAAATACATAACTCAGATGGCCAAAAATATTTATTGTATTTATCTCAGACCAGTTTCTAAGGGTTACAAAGAACAAAAGGTGCATTGTTACCCAATTTAGTGATATGACACATAAAAATCTTGAAAACATATGTTGCAAAAGTCTTCACCCCCCTCAGCTTTTACCATCGTTGATTTAACCTTACATCACTACCCTGCTAAAGTAAATACAAGTGTCCCTGTACAGCTCTATCAGATACCAAAGTATTTTTTCACATGGCTATATAGAGCCATCAGTATTGATTTAAGCAGAGTATTTTGAAAGTTAGAATTTGGTTTACTGTTACATATTGGGATTGATGAAAAAAAAGAACTCTCTACAAACCTAAAGGAAAAGATTGTTCAGAAGCACAGTTCCGGAGAAGGCTATAAATCAATTTCAAAGTTTCTCAATTTGCCATTAAGTACTGTAAAAACGGTTCTGAAGAAATGGAAAGTGTGCCACACTACTTCAACCTTGCCAAGATCAGGTCGTCCTAAGAAAGTCTGTGCTTGAACAAGCAAAAAAAATCACCAGAGAAGCGACTGTCGAGCAAACAGTGACAATGAAGGAGCTCTAGACTTCAATGGCAGCAACTGGACTTACTGTACACACCTTGACAATATCACGTACCTTACCCACAAAAAGGCTTGTATGGTAGGATGGCAAGAAAGAAACCAGTACTGACGAAGATGCATCTTAGATTGCGAATGGACTATGTCCGTAAACATTTCAATAACCGTACAACAATGTGGCAGAAAGTTCTATGATCAGATGAGACCA